CTCTACTGTGCATAGCCCTGAATGTGTGTGGTTACCAATATGAAAGTGAAAATGAGGTTACTAATGAAATCATGCAGATGTCTGAAGTCGCAAAAGTTAAACACACAAAGGTTAAGGATTGACTCTGTGTCTATACATACGTACAAACACTTATACATATTTTTGTTAAAACATCGTTCTACACTTTTACATACATCTACACCCCAAGGTTCAACAAGGCATCTTTAGTTCTTTTAAAATCAAAATTAGTTGGAGACCAGGTCTACCATTTGTCTGCTCCCTCACTTCCCTCGGGGTTGGGTTTCAGAGTCAAAATGGAGCCTGGGCACCAAGACAATCCACCTCCCTCTCTTTTACAGAGATGGGGGACTAGGGACATACAACATATACTATCAGATTCCATGGACACGCTGGTTCATTTTGCTGAACTGCTCAGTTTTCACACTTTTTCTTTGTTGTTACAAGGGATAGCTAACTCAGAGAAAGGACCTTCTGAAACGAAGGTAGGGTAAAAACAAATTATATGAGTAATTCTTAAAAAAATGAATATTAATGGAAAAGTCCCCAAACCTCAGGAAACTGTAAAGTTACTACTGTCAAACAGTATTGACCAACTTTTTTTTTTTTAAATCTGCAACACAGAGTATATGTCTCTGTTGAGTTGTTAACATGGGGCTGGGCAAGGGCAGTTGGATTCCACACAGAGGAGACCCAACATCTAGCACCAACAGTTTAAGGTAAAGAGATGGTATCTGCTCAGGGAATCTCAAAAATGATCTTGTTCCATTAGTTTATGTAGGCAGATGCAGTGACTCATTTTTAAAAGTCTTTGGTAGCAAAACTCTAAGAAGCTCCAGAAGACTGGAATGTCACTATGTGAAAAAGTCAGGGAATGAGATTTGCGAGGAGGTTTGATGCAGTGCAAAAATGTTGGATTTGGGGTCTGAGGACCTGGGTTCAGATCTTACCTCTACCACTCACTACCTGGTTGTGGTCTTAGACAAATTACTTCCCCTCGAGCCTCAGTTTCCCCATCTACAAAATGAGGGGGTTGAATAATATGATCTCAAAGGTATCTTCTAGTTCTAAATCCATAGTCCTACAGAATACCTTCAAACTTCCTCAGTTGACACCATGGAGGCCATTACATGTTCTCCTCCTACCTCTCTGACCATTCCTTCTCAGTCTCCTTTACTGGATCGTCATCCAAGTTAGGCCCTCTAACTGTGAATGTCCCCCAACTGTCCTGGATCCTTTTCTTCTTTCCCTTTATGTGATCTCACTGGGTGATATCATCAGCTCCCATGGGTTCAATTATCCTCTCTATACCGATGACTCCCAAGTGCATATAGGCAGCCCCAGTCCTTCTTAACCTCCATTCTGTATCACCAACTGGATGTCCCATAGGTCTCTGAAATCCAGTCTGTCCAAAAGAGAATTCATCTTTCCCCCACAAGCCTTAGGGCCATCCTCCATCATGTCCAACTGATGGGTAAATCTTGTAATTCCTTTCTCCACATCTCTCACCTATATCCCCTGTCCTCCACTCACAGAGCTCCCACCTTAGTTTTGGCCCTGTCGCCTCTGACCTGAACTATTATTTGAGGCAGCTGGGTGGGGGACAGAGTGCTGAGCCTGGAGTCAGGTAGACCTGAGTTCAGATGTGACCTCAGACAAATACTAGCTGTGTGACTTTGTCTGCCTCAGACTCCTCAACTGTAAAACTGGGATAATAACAGAACCTATCTCATAAGGTTGATAAAAGGATCAACTGAGACAATATTTGTAAAGCACTTAACAGGACTCGGCACACAGTAGGTGCTTAATGTTTCCTTCCTTTCTTCTTTCCAATAGCCTTCTTATTGGAGTCCCTGCCGCAAGTCTTTACCAATTCCAGTCCTTCCCCTCCTTCTGGCTGCTATGTTACCGCCACTACCCCTCCTCAACTCAAAATGCTCCAGGACTTCCCTGTTACCTCTAGAAGCAAACAGAAATAGGCCCCTCCTACCTTCACGGCCTGCTTACACACTATTCCCTTTTCACGCATTCCATCACCCAGCCACAGTGGACTCACTTGCTGCTCTTCACACTTGAAGCCCCATCCCTCCTCTCCATGCCTCGGTACTGGCCAGTCCTCATGCCTGCAATGTTCTCCCTTCCTGCCTTCACCTCTTAGATCCCGTGGCTTCCTCTGAGACTCAGCTCACACACCACTCACGCAAGAGGCCATTCCCAGGCCCCTCAGCCGCTTCCTCCTTCCACGCCAGCCCTGGCTTCCATCTACTCTGTCTCTGCTATGCACCTCTTTACTTATGCGTTGTCGCCCTCAAAAGATGCAAGCTTGTAGAGGGCAGGGGCTGTTGTTGTTTTTAATTTGTCTGCCCCAAGCTCAGTGCAGTGCATGTCACACAGCAAGAATCTAATAAATGGCTGTCGATGACTGACTGATCTTCTCTTCCTCAGTGTCCCTCCCAGGAGCAGATTACCGAGCTGAATGGACAATGAAGCCAAGCCAGTCTGGCAAATGGCGTTTTCTGCTGCCTTTATACTGCATCTGAGCCTGCTCGTCCTGGCTCTTCCTTCAGTCTTCACACAATCTCCAATAACGGAACACTTAACATATTTTCATTGTTCCACAAAGCTAGTAATTTGTGTGGACAATAACTTCATATGCTGGCATGGTTTCTCTCTGCATTATACTGGAGGAAGTCCATTTTATGACATTTAAGCTCAGTCCAAAAGTCTATGTTAAGATAAAAACCACGACGTCAAAGAAAATGTATGAACTATCGGGCAGGCCTATTCCCAAACATCACGAGGGCAGCGATGTGTGTCCAAACCACTTGCCATTGAGCTAAGCATTTCAACAGTGATTAAAAAGAAATAAAGGACCAAGTAAAATGGATCACTTTCTGTATAGAAACTTTATAATGGGGAGTAAATTTTAATAAATATTCTTAAGGGAACGTTATCTAAATGTAAATGAGTACACAGCCAGGATAGAACTAGAAAGGAGAAACGCTGTCATCCCCAACTAAAGCTCCAGGCCCCAAACCATGCTGTTGGCCCAGCCCTTTGTCTCATCAGATGCCAGCTGACGCGTCGGCAACAACTGAGCTTCAATGTCTGTACCCATTAATCCCGGCCTCGGGAGCAGAGTCGGTGCCTTAACCCCTCACCCCCAGTGACTGTTCCATGGACTCAGGGGCTCTGTCCTCCTCTGGGAAGCCACAGACTCAGCCCCAAGGGGTCACTTGCTTTACAACCACGTAAAACGTCCCACATTTGCTTTTGAGCCAGATTTCCAGTGGCAGAATCTAGGCGGAGTAGTTCATTAAAATCAGTGTAACTCCTGAGTGAGAAGAATGAGGACAGTACCTCTCTGTCAGGTTTTGTGTGCTTAAGAGGGAATGCTTATTCTTTTCATCTGATTAGGAATGTGAATCCTGGAGGCCCAAGGTGTAGTCTGAAGCAGTTAGGACACGCCTCGCTGAAGGTATCACTAGCATGGGATGGGGGGTGGGGTTGGAGCTGGAGTATCTGATCTCTTTTTCCAAAGCCCAAAGTGAACCCCTCTTTACTATTCCAAACCTCTTCTAGGCCTGAAAAAGCCTAGAATAAGTAATGCTGTGTGAGAGATTAACTCAGAAGATACTTTTCAAGCCTGATGATTTTCCTTAAGGACAAAGAATTTACCAAATTAACAAAAGTTATGTTTCTACCACCTGTTTCCCAGAAACCTTTCACCTTGGCTCTGACAGAAACACACACATAGGTTACTGGAAGGAGAAAATGAAGTGTCCTGAAGCCTGATCAGGGGGCAGCTAGGAGGCACAGTGGATAGAGCACTAGGCCTGGAGTCGGGAAGACCTGAGTTCAAATCTGGCCTCAGACGCTTACTAACTGTGTGACCCTGGGCAATTCACTTAACCCTGTTTGCCTCAGTTTCTTCATCTGTAAAATGAGCTAGAGAAGGAAACGGCAAACCACACCAGTATCTCTGCCAAGAAAATCTCAAATGGGGTCCTGAAGAGTGGGAAATGACAGAAACAACTGAACAACAGAAGCCTGATCAACATACCTCATGCATTCTGTAATTCACTTCATTTTTCTAGTCACTACATAGGTGGGAAGTGATGCTACCTTGGCACAGGACAGCTGCTGAAACTCTGACGTAACCAGCTGAGAGCACGCCTAGCAGAATAAACCAGGGGAGTGTTTAGAACACGGACGCGGCGGGAGGAACAAACGCTCTCTGGAATCGTGCAGTGTGGCTGTGATCTGCACTGCTAACAGTTCCAGCATTCAAGAGCACCTAGGCGACTCTATTTGACCCGAAGACTAGAGTCTGCCTCCATCCAGGGGCCTGTCATGGTGACAGGGGCCTAGACCCTCAAAGGCCGCACTAATGAAAGACAAGCTTCACACATACACAGACAAACATGCACATGCACATACACGCACACACACATACACACTCTCTCTCTACATCTGTCATCCAACCACCAATTTAGCTTATCACCAAAGGGTGAGTCACCAGGCTGTGAACTGTTTGGGCTGGATGGAGGACGTGTTGGCAGGATCTCCAGGAGGGAAGCCTGGAGCCTAGAATCATCCAAGGATTACGGGCTCTGGGCTCTCAGAGGTGGAAGGAACACAAAGAGGCTATATAATACAACCCCTCCTTTTACAGAGTACGATTCTGAGGCCCAGGGGATCTGAAATCCCAGGCGTCCCAGTTACCTCAGACTCAAAAGCACGTTCTTCTTCTACTCTAAAAAGCTGCTTCCCACAAACCAGCCCTGAGGATGCCCACATCCTCAGCAATGTACAAAAAACAGGGGTTCTTAACTAGGCTCCATGAACTTGAGATTTCAAAAATATGTTGATAGCTACATCCCAGTATAATTGACTTTCTTTGGAATCCTGCATGTTTTATTTTGTGCATTTAAAATCACAATTCTGAGAAGGGATCTGTGGGGAGTTTTGCTCGCTCTTACCTTCACTTCCACTCCTGAAGGAGCATTAAACACGTACTCCAGCTGGAAGATAACTGCGAATGCTGGGTTATTGACCATTTCTGTCAGGCGAATTCGGCTTCTCAAGACCAGGGCCTGACTTCTGGAACTGGATGAGAAAGGCAGGAGGTTACGGCAATGGCTCCCAAGAGATGTTTTTGTCTTTTTCAGAACCCTGCCCCCACCAGATAAATGCAAAACCGCATCCATGCACCCATCAAACGGGGCATGGCAGATGCATCCTGGGGCAGCAGTGGGAGCTGGATGGAGATGGAGACTGTGAGGGAAGCAGATGCCAAGACACTTGTACTTCTTGGCACCAAAGGCAAGTTTTGAAATCCGTAACTTCTGAAGTGGCACAACCCAAACCTCATCACCTATCAGCAGAGCATCAGCGCAGAGGACCACAGCTGTGAGCCCAGAGCCCAGGAGAAAAGGTCTAGGCCCCAGGGAATATTTGCCTAGAAGGCAATCAGCCCCATGCCTCATGGCACACGGGGGCACCTGATCACTTTCTCTTATGAAGCTGAAGAAGGCACACTAGGCTCTTCATAGTCCCACTTAATGGGCAGGATGGCACAGAGGAGCAGAGGCAGAGAGGGTGGCATGGGGAGGGGAAGCAGAAAGGGTGACACAGGGAGGGGAGGCAGAGAGAGTGGCACAGGGGAAGGGAGGCAGGCAGGGAGGCACAGGGGAGGGGAGGCAGAGAGTATGGCACAGGGGAGGAGAAGCAAGCGGTCTCTTTACAAAAGCAAAAGTGCTATTTCTCCATAAACCGTTAATTTATTCTTTCCTGCTTGGACATGTTATTTCACTAGCTAGGAAGCCCTAGGTGAGGAAAGCCCCTCCTTGTCCCTGCCCCGCCTTCCCCCCCAATCCTCACCAGTGCCAACCAGCCCAGGCTAAATCTCAGCCCTAGGCTCACTCACTACCTGATGTTGGCAGAGAAGGAAGGCTTCCTGTTGAGAGTTCCAGAGCGCCCCAGGGCCACCTCACTCTCGGGCATCAGCACCACCACTTGAGGCTTCTGAACAAAAAGCAGGCCATTGTGCACCCCCACATGTAGCCGCCGTTCCTGAATCGTCGCCGCCTTCCCCTCCAAGGTGCCGCTCTCCTGCAAAAGAAAAATAGCCCATTTGGCTGAACAAAAGAAACAAGGGAGCTCCCGAGGAAAGCCTCCACAGGAGAGAGGGATGTAGGAAACTGAGATCTGAGCCAAAAATGCCCAACCAAAAGGGCAAGGACTCCTCTGTGACACTTCACTCTTAAAATGGTCCTGAGGAAAACAGAGGCCGAATGGCCTGACCACAGCTGCCTTGCTTCGGCCTATGCCCAGGGCTGTGAGTTCTCCAGCACGAGCTAAAGGATGATGTCACCTCTTTGTTGTCGTTGTTATTATTGTTGTTATTGTTGAGTTGTTTCAGTCATATCCAACTCTCCATGGCCCCATTTGGGATTTTCTTGGCAAAGACACTGGAGTGGTTTTCCATTTCCGTCTCCATTTTACAGATGAGGAAACTAAGGCAAACAAGGTTAAGTGACTTGTCCAGGGCCACACAACCAGTAAATGTTTTTGGCTGAATATGAACTCAGGTCTTCCTGACTCCAGGCCCGGTGCTCTATCCATTGCACTGCCTAGCTGCTCTCACTACTTTGCTGGTCTCTGAAATACCTGGCTAAACAAACTCTCATTCTAGATTTTCAAAACCGAACAGACAACTCTCAAGTACAGGAAAAGCTTACGCTGAGTCTTCCACACAAAAGAGGCAATGAATCAGCAAGCATTTATTGGGAAAAGCGCTGGCTCTGGGGTCGGACGACCTATGCAGCTTGCCACCTGTGTGACCTTGGACAAGTCACTTAATTTTCCTGGGCCTCTGTTTCCTTGGGCCAGCTAAGTGGCGCCATAGTGCATAGAATGCCAGGCCTGGAGGGAAGAAGACTCATCTTCCTGAGTTCATAGACACTAGCTGTGTGACCCTGGGCAAGTCACTTAACCCTACGTGCCTCAGTTTCCTCATCTGTAAAATGAGCTGGAGAAGGAAAGGGCAAACCGCTCCAGTATCTCTGCCAAGAAAACCCCAAATGGGGTCATGAAGAGTCGGACCGGACTGAAACAACTCAGCAACAACAATAACCACCACCACCACCACAACACAGTTACTCACCTGTAAAATGGGGATAATAACGGCACCCACCTCCCAGGGTTGTTGTAAGGATCAGATGACATAATAATTGTAAATCTCTTAGCACAGAGCCTGGCACATAGCAAGCACCACATAAATGTTAGTTATTATTAAGACGATGATGAGTGTTATTAACAAAGATGGAGAAGGCACTTCCAAAGCTGATACACTCTGTGCTTTGTGATTCCTGCTGTACTCAGAGACAGGGTATTTGGGGTGTGAGGGGAGGAAAAGAATATTTAAGCCATAAGTCATAAACTAATAAAAATGGAATCTGCCCCAAAGTGATCACGGGATATTAAAGTATTTCATCTTAACAAAAAATATACAGGCAATTTGACAAATGAACAGGGATATTCCTCCAGGTTATTATTGTTTATTAAATTATTTGATCATTGCAAAATGATCCTTGAAATTTCAAGTTTTCTCCTTTGTCCATTAATCAAGTCGAACTAACCTAAAATCAACCTATTAGTCTTGGGATAATGAAAACAAAACTACAGAGGATAATTGTGTGTCTGCCTGCTGAAGAGTAACAAAAATATAGACAATAAAAATTAAAAATAAAAAGTTTTCTGGAAATGCACAAAACTCCTAAATTCCTAAAACACTTTTACCCTTGGGAAATCCAAATCATGTAGGAAGGAAATGGAGCAAAAGTCCACAAAGGGAATTTATGTTTCCATGTGAATCCTAGTCTTCAATTTGAGTTTACATGTCAGTGATGAGACTGTATTAGGCAAAACACATTTTCCAAAAAAAGTGTGAACAAAACGAATCTACCTCTAATTAGCAATTTTTCAAATGTCATTGCTGATGTGCTAACACCACACACTGTAAGAAGAGGACACCGATGGCTAGATAATATAGCCCTGATGGCGATACATAATCAGAATTTGAAAATTGTTCCCCATTGGCAATGAGAAGCCCTCTCTGGCTTCTCCCTCCCCCTGACCCCACACAGGGGATCAGTGTGATGGATTTTTCCATTGGAATACCTTTCACATACATCCTTTGCTTCAATTTCAACTGCCACCAGGTTCTCGGCATCAAGAATTTAGAGCTGGAAAGGGGGCCTAATTTTACAGTGAGAAAACTGAGGCCCAAGCAGAGAAGAGGCCTGCCCAAGGTCCCCAAAGGAATAAGTGGAAGAGCAGGGGACTGGAACCCAGTTTCTTTAACACCAAAACCTGAGGTCCTTGAGGGAAAAGGCTGTTTGAGGGTTTGTTTGGTTTTTGGGGAACTTTACTTTTTCCCTCAGTCTTTAGCAGACTACCTGGCATACAGTAAGTGCTTAATAAATGCTTGCCCACTGATTACTGAGCACCTAATAGAAAAACTAAAGCATCTTCCTTACTCGTCTCCAACCCTCCAATCCATATTGCATTCTCTTCCTGATCAATCTGCCCAAAGAACCTCTTTGGGTCACATCTGTCCTCTTCAAAACCCTTTGGCATTTCCCCACTGCCCATAGGACAAATCCAAGCTTTGAAACCAGAGATTAAAGGCCATCCCTTCAGAATCTAATTCCAAGCCACATTCTAGCCTCATTTCCTGCTCCCTCCTATTACAAACTCTGTACTCCAAATGCACATCAGAGTTTCCTACACCATCATCCCTGCAAAAGTGACCTCTGCCGCTCCTCTCACTGCCAAATCCCATTGGTCCATCATGGCCCAGCTCAAGAAGCTGCTCCCCATCCAAGAATCCTTCCCAGATCACCCCTGCTAGAGAAAGGCTTTGCTTCCTCTGAGCTCCTGGTCCACTCACTGCAAATGGAAGCTCCCTGAGGGCAGGGTCTGCTCCAATTTGGTCCTCACATCCCCCATGCCCAGCACATGCAACATACGGGCTTGTTAAATGACTAACTGTACCACACTTGGGCCACTCAATCCTATTTAACAGATGCTGCCTGCCAATATACAAGGCACCAACTGTGATAAAAAGATGAACAAGACTCAAGATAAATAAGGTTTTAGCTCTTAAAGAGCTTAAAAACTGGTGGGTGCAACAAGACATGTATAGAATGACATACATTCATTCAACAACCATTTATTAAGCATCTAAGAAAAATAACAGTAATAATAGCTAGCATTTATATAGCATCTACTATGTTCCAGGCACTGAGCTCAGTGCTTTAAAGATATTATCTCATTTGATCATTATAACAACTCTAAGAGGTAGGAATTGTTATTTATCCCCATTTTACAGTTGAGGAAACTGAGGCAAACAGAAGTTAAATGACTTGCTCAGAGTTAAAAAGCTAGTAAGTATCTAAGGCCGGAGTTGAACTCAGGTCTTCCTGACTCCTGACTTGCCGCTCTCTCCACTGTGGCACCCAGCTGCCCTTAATATGGCAGCTAGATGGCAGAGTAGACAGAGTGCTAGACGTTGAGTTCTAAAGACCTGAGTTTGAATCCTACCTCAGACTTTTATTGCTATGTGATTCTGGATAAGACACATTACCTTTTTCAGTGTCAGTTTCTTTATCTGTAAAATGGAGATAATAATAGCACCTGCCTCATAGGGTTGTTTGAGAATCAAATGAAATAATTGAAAAGTGCTGTACAAACCTTAAAAGTGCTATAGAAATGTTAGCTATTATTAGTTCAGGTGATATATATATATACGTGTAATATACATATAGAACATATATAAATAGCATATTATTAATATGTTAATTATAACATTTTGTTGTTCAGTCATCTTCAGTTGGGTCTGACTTTTTGTGACCCCTTTTGGGGTTTTCTTGGAAAAGATACCGGACTGGTTTACCATTTTCTTCTCCAGCTCATTTTACAGATGAGGAAACCAAGGCAAACAGGATTAAGTGACTTGCCCAGGGTCACACAGCTAGCAAGTGTCTGAGGTCATATTTGAATTCATGAAGATGAGTCTTCCTGACTTCAGGCTTGTGTCACCTAGCTGCCCCAATTATAATGTAGTACATTATATATACAACACGTTATTATATTACATGTATCATATATGTAAAATATAAATTAATAATAACACTGATCACATATATATCACCAGAACCAATACTGTGTGTATGTATATGTATGTATGTATGTATGAATGTATGTGTATATATATATAGAACACATATATCCATACACACATGTACACATATTTGTACACATATATTCACACACATACATATAAACCCTAGGGAAATAAGTAAGACATAGAACCTGCCTTCAAGGAGTTTACAATTTAGCAATACAATTACATACATTAGTAAATTACAGGTAAATAGGAAGATCAAAGGTGCTTTGAGGATTCAAAGGAAGAAGGGATTCTTTCAGGATAGGGGACTACAGAAAGGTCTCCAGAAGCAGGGAGGACTTGAGCTGGCCCTTGAAAAGGGCTTAGAAAACCCAACAACAGCAGATATCCAGGATGCTAACAGAAAAAAAAAAAAGTGGCACTTAAGGTAAAGGGAGCAAACCACAAAACTGAGCAAGCAAAATCTACATTTGCAGAATAGCGAGTGTGTGGATGGGATGCACTCTGGGAGTGACTGTGGGGGATCAGGCCCAAAAGGGGGATTAGAAGGAGACTGGCCTTCTAAAGTGAGCCTAAAAGGTTTGGACTTTTTGTCACAAAATAGTAGGGATTCACTGAGCATTTCTAAGCAGGAGAGTGATGTCATCAGAGCAGTGCATTAGGAAAAGAAGTTTGGCATGAGGGGACAGGATGGCTGGGAGGGGAGGAAAAGGAAAGGTAGGAAGATGGAGAGAGAAGCACTTTTACCTACAGCCTCATAGTGTTTGTTCTCCTTTTCAATGCAAATGTCCCCCCCACCACCACCACTCCATCTCAAAAGAAATCTTAAGTCCTTTGTGGGTAGAGTTCAGACTTCATATATCTTTTATGTCTACTTTCCTACCAACTGCCAGCCAATCACCACCAATTTTGTAAGCAGGGTGGCCCAGCTAAAGCAGCAAGACACTCTAAGGAAAAGAGAAAATGTGTCAGGCAAGACACACTACTACCACCACACTGACTACCATCTTGCCTCAGACCCTGCTGAAGCCAGTCCAGGGTGCTGAAGCCAAGATCTTTGAGAATGGCAGTGGCCCCCAGACCACCAGTCTTGCTTTCAGTCTGGGTTCTGTAACCATCGATGAGGGGAGCCATCAATCACTGTGAAGAAGGAGCCCACTTTCCTTACCTTCACCATCCTCATCTGCTCATCAACTTTCCCCATTGGACAGGCAAACCCAAGAGCCCTGGCATTGGCAGTGCCTCCCAGACCACTGTTCCTGCCTCCAGCCCAGCCCCCACAGCCATCATCCCAAGAGCAAGCCCTGTGGAGACAGCAGCTGGTGATTTTCTGCAAATGCTGGTCCCCCAGCCTCCTCAGCACCCACATCTACTGAAATCCTAGAAAAGAAAACGCTTGCCACCAAAGTCAAAAGGTTCAACCTGAGGAATGGATATGATTATCAGCAGAAATGACATAAAAGACCTACTTCTATCTGCTTTATCCCTGTACTTCCAGGACCACAGAACCTTTCCATTCACCTGACTTGCAGCAGAAACTGTCTCCCCTATTAGAAAGTGAGCTCCTGGAGAACTGAGGCTGCCTGTCTTGCATTTTTTTTCTTTGTATCTCCAGGGCTTTTTAGTACAGAGCTCTACACATAGTAAGTACTTAATAAATGCTCTTCCTTCCATTCATCCTTCCATCCATCCATCCATTCACTCATGCTCCTCATAGGACCCCCCACGTAAAAAAATGCTCATTGTTTTGACTGAATAGATCAGGCACCTATGGTTAGTGGTCAGTGACAGTTTCAACGTGTCTGAAGATGGAACCATTCCTGGTGAAGCTTACAACAGCTCACCATTGCCTAAAACACAAGCCTAGAACAAGGATCTCCTAACTTGCATGGACTACCATGCCCCTCCACATGACATTCAGAGATCTTTTTCATGGGAACAATGTTGTCCCCAGGAGCTAAGAAAGCACAGTGTGCCGTCAATGGCCATGAAAGAGAGTGGCCAGAAGGCAATGAATATTGCTTAGATATTATATTCTGGGGCAGGTAGGTGGCACAGTGGATAGAGCACCAGCCCTGGATTCAGGAGGACCTGAGTTCAAATCTGGCCTGAGACACATAACACTTACTAGCTGTGTGACCCTGAGCAAGTCATTTAACCCCATTGCCTAACCAAAAAAAAAAAAAAAAAAAAGATATTATATTTCAAGGGCCTAAGCCAAAGACTGTGAAATTCCCTACTAGTCTATGAATTTATTTCTCTCTTGGTTCAAATGGCAAGTTATCCCATTAAAAATGTTCTGCCTAGTCCCTTTCTGACTCAGCACAATGCTAAGTACCTAGTAGATACTTAATAAATACTTACTGATTGATCTTTTCTCCACAATTAATAAGATAAGAAATTGTCTAGATGCTTATACGTGGCACCTTTAGATTTATTTGCATTCTGAAAAGGGTTTTTTGCATGTGTTTTTAAAATATATGTATTGTAAAGAGATTCTATTTAACGAGTAGGAAGAAAATCCTGCAATGCGCAATTCTTCCTCTGACATTAACAATCATCTGACATTTATCTTAAGTCAAAGATTTTTCTAAATACAAAATATTCCCAGTAGTTAACCTTTTACCGATGTTCTGTCAATAAAAAAGAGATTTAGAACTCAGTAGTACCACTGTAATAAAATACGACACCTTGAAGGCCTGGATTTGTTTTCTGAAGGGAGATCTTAAGAAATTAGAAAAGATTTACAGAAACTGACAAAATCTGGTCAGCACTCCAAAGGGAGCCTATTCATGAGGGTTAATTTCAATTCAAACTTTCAAGAGGGCGCCAGAGTCCCAAAGGCCATTATGGTGATCTCAGGAGGAACAGGCTTGCCTTTGGTACATAAGGCAGCCTGGTAAAATAAAAAGTTTTTCTCAATCTAACACAGAAAGATCTGTTTTAAAAGCTTACAAAATAAATAAATACAATCAACAGCAGAAAAGAGGCCACTTCGGTGAAAGGAAAGTTACAAGGCTTGTTTATACAAATAATTGGTGCCTAGATGAACCGGCAAGAGTAAGACATGGTCCAAAAGCAGGGACCAACTTCGAATTGGAAAATTTCTTGCAGGAAAACAAAATTCCCCTCTGAGCTGGTGGAGCTGCAGGGTTGCCCTGACATCATGAATTTCACCAGGAACACAGAAGCCAGATTGGCTCTGGCTGCCTTCAATGACACACGTGATGGTTTTGTCCTTCAGTTGCCCATCCCTGGCTGTCTATGACACACCCACACACACAGTACTCCTCAGCAAGCATAAGAAGAGCTCTCCAATTCACCACCTCCTAAGTGGGGATGATTTGTGCCAATTAACCCCAATTCACTAGTGAGTCAAATTGTAGTAAGTATCCAAATGGCACTGGGCTAGTCTAGGAGCCAAGATATCCCTATGCAAATATTCATTAGCAATGCCAAAGCTTTGGCCTTGGCTAGTCTCTCTGCTCAGCCCAGTGCAGAGTATGGCAATCAGTGTTTCCCGGAGATGATGCAAGCAACAGCTCCCTGAAATCTGTAAAGTACTAAACAAACTTAGAGGAGACTTCCTATTATTTCAAATGTCTATATTATACTAATAAGGAGCCCCAAGTTCCTTGGTCAGGTGGGTCTCCAATCTATCCCTGAGGAGGTATTTATGTCCCACAAAGCCAGCCTCTCCCAAAGCACAAACTAACTGGCCACAACAGGGTAAGTCAAGGCAGGCCTCATGCTGCATCCTCTACTACGCATATACATATGGGTGTTTATACAAAATCCTATCAGCACAAAAGAAACAGGAAATCTTAATCACAAAAGGGAAAAGATTCTCTGCTCTTTGTTTTTTCTCAGCATGGCAGGAGGACAAGGCATGCCTTAAGCAAATTTCCCACTGGGGAAGATGTGAAGAGAAGCTTGAATGAGCACAAAGGTAATTCTAGGAGAATAAGGAGCCTAAAGCTCCTTTCTAACCCAGCAAGGGCATCACTGGATTTAAAAAAAAAAAACAATTCTTGGAATGCTATGTGGCAAATGAAAGAAAGAGGGAGGCTCTCTCAGCTGCTGGTTTTAAATGGCATTCTGTCACTTTTTTGAGCTTCCTACCTAAAGAGAAGCACTTTCATAGACAGAAAAGGCCTAAGTGATAACATGAGCCCCTTTGAAAGAATCAGCTGCATGGGGGGGGGGGGGGGGGTAGGAGTTAGATTCCTGGTTATCCTCTTAAACTAAGCCAAATAGTCTTAAAATGACCCTTGCAAATACAGTGCCGCTCTAAGGCTTCCCCTCCATTCATTCAGCAATTTAATTTCCTTTTTAAAATGAAAACTGCTCAAGTCACATAAAAATAACTATTAAAATTAGGGCCAGTCAGAGCACAATGAAGGATCTATTCCTAGGAGAATAGCATCCATCCTACATTACTGTCATAAATGGAGAACCAATGGACTGGAAGCTCTTGGGGGCTTCTGGTTTGGGCCTGTGATGTTGCTATATTTCAAAGGGAAGAGCTGAGCTGTGAGCTCTTTAATAACTAACTCCTTTAAATACTGAATCAGGCCTGGAACCAAAGTGTTTTATTTCCATTACATGAAAGGCCCAAACTACTTCATCAGTGGCCTTCTCCCCCATCTTCAGCAACATTAGCCCACTTCTCCCAGCAGGACTCCAGGGACTCTCCCTCTAAGAGGATGGGGGAGCTCCTCCAGCCCTCAGGACTCTGTCTATAAAAGCAGAGCCCAAGGTGACATCATACCTCCCTCAAGCGGTCATGACTGAGGAGCTCCAGAAGTTCCTCCTCAAACTTCTCAAGCGATGGATACAGGTTGAAGAGCAGATTGTCCAAATACCATGTGACAGACTTCTGGAGGCGAGGCTTCCGCAGTGCATCATCTGAACAGGGAGAGAATGGGGTTTGCAGATGGATCATCACATCCAAAACTGAGGAAGAGTCAAAAAGCTGCTTTCTTCCTGCAGTCTCAGACACCCCAGAGAACTGGGGATATGGTTCTGGACACTCAGAAAGAAAGCAACAGACCAAGTACCCCACACCAGAGCCCACATCATGGCTCACCCTCCTTCCAGACTGAACTCCTAACCGATGAAACAAGCACAGGCTTCAGTCACAATCCAAGTCTCCTCCAGGAACAAATTTTACAATTCAGTAATTCAAAGAACATGGATTACAAAACACAAAACAACATCTGTTACCCTTCAGCTTAGTTCTCCTTTATCACTTACAATCCTCTCCAGCAAGAAGAACCAGTCAATGGCACCATCACTCATTTTACTGACTTTACCTTGGACTATTTGGAAACCCACATAGCACACACATGCTTACTCATGCACACATTAAACTAACAAGCCAGAAACACAGTTGTGGTGAAGAGTGCTACAAGAAAGCACTTCTGAAGGAAATCTAGAGGCTCTGAGGTAAAGATCTTATTACAAAGAAGTAAGGAACACTTGGAAAAGTGAGAAGGCAGTAAGGCTGATATGGTTTTGCATAATTATGTTAATATATTTATACAATATTATTATAATATATCCCATATGGATAATTATAATACAAATTAATTATACTATAAATTAACAATATATTATATAATAAATATATATTGTTATTATTGTTGTTATTATTTCCCAGGCCTCAGTGACTCCCTAGGGACACACAATCTATATGTTTCAGAGGAGGAGAATGAGGAATGTGGGATTTGAACCCCAGCTCCTTGACTTTCAGCTTGACTCTCTGCCCATTATCCCTGACTGTTTCCCTAACTAACAACATTTACCTAGCACTTGAACATTTGCAGGTATTTTATAGATATCCTCTCAATGGACACCTATGAGGCAGGTACTACATGTATTGTCATCTCTATAGTACAGGTAAGGTAATTGGAGCTCAGGGAAGTCAACTGACCAGCTCATAAATACACAGCTAATAACTGCCAGGCAGGATTTGAACCCAGCTTGTTCTGACTCTGTGTCTAGTCTCCTATGCACTGATCCATTATATATACTTCCTTTTCGACTACACGTTCCCTCAACTAAACCCACTGGAAGAAGCTTGAAAATTATATAATGGGAAGGAAAAGGACTAACAATCCCAATCATTCTGGGACAGGTCCCACCTCTCCTCTTCCCCCATCCTCTCTGAGTTTGTTTTGACAACTGAAATGTTACACATTAGGTAGGCCTGTGATGGTGTGATGATAAAGTCTATTCCAAAGCATAAAGTACACTGGCTGATTTGTCAGAGCTGAGGAAAATGAAGGAAGGAACATGTAAACCCTTTCCTAAATCAAGCCAGGAGCTTTGGGGGAGAGGCAGGTCACAGCATCATGTAAATAGTTAAAAAAAATTCCCACGGGTTCATACCCAAGTTATATACTGGTTCCAGGCCACATCCAAGCCAGAGTGGTTTTGCTGGAGGCTACAAAGCTAATAAACATTGTACTCCAACAAATTCAGGGCCAGTGGGCATGGAGGTAGCAAAGCTCGACAAGATATATGGGGAAGAACACCGTCTCCCGTGGCAATTCCAACAGGAATCAGCCGGATCTCCTGCAGAAGCCAGGCAATCGTGCCACCTAATTGTTCCTAAAGCTCCACACAGTTTCTTAATCAAAAATTTCAGTGATGATAAGGATGGGAAGGAGAACTCCAGCTCTTCCTCCTAACATTCTAAGTACACAATGGGTGAGTGCAGTTGCATCCACGCTCCAAATGCACTGAGCTGACCCCAATGTAGGAAAGATCAAATGGTGGTGATCCCAAAGCAAACAGAAAGGAAGGCCTGGAGGACCAAAAATGGATGAACTGCAGTCACCCGAGCAGAGTCAGAGACTGATAGCACTCTTACCATCCCTACTGCATGCAGATATGACCTTACTGATTCAGTCGGTGGGCCAGGGCATCACCAAAGAACGAGAGGCAACTATAAAGAAAGATTTCATGAGAAAGTTAATCCAGGATGCAGGCACGTATGGAGGACTTTCATTTTCATTAGGATCTTGAAGGCACAAGAATATTTGCTTAATTCCATGACAAAGTCAAATGCTAAGGAGGAGTGTGATTTTATGTGACGTCTGCAGCAAGCTGACCATCGTCTTCTGCTGATGCAGAACATCTGTGCTGTGAAATAAACTCTCCCACCCAAACATGTCCTTAAGAGCATGCTCACCTCTCTTCACACTTCATCAACAATGCAGTGTTAGGAAGATCAAGACGTGGGCAAGTTGACAACCAGGGATCTAAGATCCATCGTGTTAGTGACCCAGAGGCAATGAACAATGTTTTGAATGAAACTAACAGGACAAAGGACAGAGAGCCCCAGTGAAGAAAAAAGATAATTTTCTAGAGGGGGAAGAAATCATTTGGGAGAAGACTACTATGGTCTTTCATTCTATAATTAGTTTTGCAGAAAGTCAGCCATGACACAGAGCTCAGGATATCACAAAGCCACACATCCTTCATACCAACTTTATGAAAGAGATGCAAATTACCAAAAAAACAAGCCGACATAAAGTACTTTTTCAACAAAACAAGTTTTAGGATCTCTCCTAAGGTCAATCCCAAGTTTGCTAGAAGAAAATTTAGTAAAAGAAAAACAACTAGCATTGGCTCCAACTTCTTAAAGAGGTCTGAGCCATCAAATCATACCCTCAAACTCCTTCTAAATTCTGTGGTGGTTTCCTTGTAAAAATTTGCAGAAGATACAAAGCTAGGAGGGATCACTAGCATGCTAGATGCAGCGTCATGATCCCAAAAGACGTCAACAGGTAAAACACATCACTGAATCACAGAAGAGGAAAAGATAAACAGAAAGTCTTACCCTTGGGTTCACAAAATAGGCTTGATAGGGACAATCTGGGGGCAGCTCAGGGAGACAGAAGTTTATCTAAAAGAGATCTAGGGGTTTTAGTGGAGTGCCTCTTGCCACCAGACCCAGATGGCTCCAGAGATGAAAGTGAGGCTGGTGACTTTGCACAGCCCTTCCTCACTTCAATCCAATTCATTTGCAAGTCACAGCTGCCTCCCTGTCAGACTCACCCTGCTTCTTCCTAACTCTAGGCCTTAGCTATGTCTACTATGTGCCAGGTACTGTGCTAAGCATTTTTTTTTAATAAATCAATCCTCACAACAACTCTGGGAAGTACATGCTATTATATTACCCCCATTTTACAGCTAAGGAGACTGAGGCAGGCAGCAGTAAGTATCTGAGGCTGCATTTGAACTCGGGTCTTCCTGACTCCAGGCCTAGTACTATCTACTGCACCACCAGCTGCCTAGAACAATGCCAGCTGTAGTAGGAGAAGATCTTGTGGAAGGTGGAGAGGTAAACTGGCTCACCTTGTAGGATGGGTAGGATTTCAATGGGGGGAGGGAAGAAGAGGAGCTAAGGTCTGGAGTTAGGACAAAGCAGGGTGAACCTGACAGGGAGGCAGCAGCCAGGCTGCTGGGCAGGGCTTGTGCTGGGGAGCAAGGAATAAGCTTGCAAAGGCAGGGTGATCCTATTTGCTTTTTGTTGTTATTGTTTAGTTGTGTCCGACTCTCTGTGATCCCATTCGAGGTTTTCTTGGCAGAGATACTGGAGTGGTTTGCCATTTCCTTCTCCAGATCATTTTACAGATGAGGAAACTGAGGTAAATAGGGCTAAGTGACTTGCCCAGGGTCACACAGCCAGCATCTGAAGCCAGATTTGAACTCAGGTCTTCCTGATTTCACGTCCAGCACTCTATGCACTGCCTCAATCCTAGCTGCTAATCCTATTTGCCAGAAAGACATGAATGTCAGGCAGAAGGGTCCAGACTTTCTCTCACAGGCCACAGAGGTCAGCGAGCTGCCCAAACTTCCACCGGCCAGTCAACTTGAAGTCTGTTTTACATTTAGACTTCGAATCTGCCAGGCCTCTCTCTTTGAATTATGTATCAGGAGAAGGAAGCTCTTGACTTTTTAAATGCATAACATTAATGGACTGTGATTAAAGGTAACACAGTGAAGCAAGATGTTTTTTTTGGTGACAAAACAATCCAAAGATATAGCATCAGAAGGAAGCCAAAGGTTTATTTTCCCTCAGTCTCTAAATAGGTGTATATAAATCTGTGACTGTTCTAAAAAGACCATTTTAGTTAACATCCTCAGGCACAAGTTTCTCTGAATCACTCTGAGACATCCACAGCCATCAAACGCATCTCAATAACATCACCCTTTTCAGCACCAATATAAAAGAAAGACTGGGCAGTTCCACGGAGCCTTCTGGCTCCCCCATCATCCTGATAATTGTCTCACTGACTCAGTCTTCCAATCTTCCCACCTGCCCGATTTCTTAAAGCCTAGGGGCAAAGTTATGCATCCTGTACTTCAGGGGCCCAGCCAGTCACCTTTTAGTAAGTGTCTCTCACATGCAGACCACTAAGATGTAGATATTTGTGTCCATGCCGTCTCCTTCAATGGATCATAAGCTGTCATGGACCACATCTCTCCCACTTACAACATAACTCTGCATAGCACCACCAGAAAAAGGAGAGTTCTGGGGACATAGAGGATACTAGAACTGACTGTCCAAAGTGTTCTCCATAAAAGACAGGCTATTTCTCTGGTCTCACTTCATTCAATGTTTCATTTATCCCAAGATTACCACATAAAATAAAATAAGCTGAATGTTATGTGAGGCAGCAGCAGAATCCACAAAGGTGTCTGTTGGACAACAACAAATGTGGTCTCATAAAATGTGACCAAGAAGTTCCCGAGTCAAGAAGAGAACCATAAGGAAAGGATATGTTAAATTGGTGGTCCATGAATGACAAATCAAGGGGTTTACTAAGGAGTTGAACTGAGCCGTAATCTTTCCAGGCTGGCGGAATACTTTCAGGAACTCCAGCAAAGTTATTTTTGATGCTATTGGGTCAAGGTTGGGTTGTTTTTTTTTTGTTTTTTTATTTTTTTAATGAAAAAGAATCATTTAATATGAGAACTCCAATCTGACACAAACTTCTGGCTAAATTTAGATGACTAAATTAGGAGTATTTGCTTACGAAAGGGAAAACAGCAGCAACTGTAAAGAATGGACCAGTGTTTAAGAGTCCGACACCATCTTGCTCCTAGTAAAGAAGGTCAAAGTGACTGAAATGGAGCACTTCGTCAATTTCCTGTCATGGTCAGGCTAGGAGCTGATGAAAAATTCAGCACGCTTGTCATCCGGAACCTTTACAAATGAATGACTGGCTACTCCTCGATATGGCAGCCAGTACAGACAAAGACAATTCCTCTCTCCAAATTAGACAAATGAAAGATACTAGGAATGCAAGGCACCAGCTCACCTAATGAAGGCTTTTCAGTGCTATAAAATGAGGGACAGCAATAAGGCTCTCTTTCATTTCAGAAGGAATCCACAGGAGCCCAAAAGTTCATAGACAAAATTTATAATAGAGATAATAACAACTGTCAGATGCAGACCCAATACCCACAAGCCTGCGAGTTGTATTTTATATGTGGCTACAAGTCCCACTCCACATAAGTGAAAGGCTGAGCAGAAGCATATCTTTTCTCAAATGGTCAGCAGGGGAGCGGCTGCAAAAATGGGTTTCCATCCTTTATTTCTCAGAGGAGGTTACATCGCTTTTTCCTTTGTAGAGTCAGCGCTGTCTTCTAACGGCTAGAGGCCATCCAGGCTCATCCTTCATTTTCCCTGATCATTTGTTTTTAAAAAACAACAACATAAATTGTGTTTCCTTTCTTTACATTTTGTAGGCTTCAGTTAAGTGCCTCAGTGACTGATGGGCCACGTCACCAGAGAGCAAATGTACATGGAACAAGGCTTCTGAAAATATTAACTTAGAACACAATGAGCTAAGGGCAGAGATCCAAAACATGTGTGTCTTTCTATAAATCAAGCCCCCAAGACACGCACCCCAATGGATGCTTTCCATAACATGTAGGCATCTTAACTTTCCAATATAATGGAAGAAGCAGAGAAAGAAATGTGGGGATTCACTGTTGCACTTAAGCTTTTTCTTCACCACCACACTGATGTCCAACATTTGGGGTATTTGCTATCCCTTTTTTCCTCCAGCACTATCAACATCCACTGCCATGTCACAGAGGGAAGGACATGTAGCAAGCACCAAAAACCACTCTGCCTGAACAGGTAAGAAATAGAAAATGTAGAAGGACTTAAAAGCAATCATGCTAATGGTTTCTTGGCGTTCCTATCCAAAAAAGCAATGACTCAGTTGCATTTCTCATGCATCTTTCCTATCAAAATTAACCTCACTTTTCTGATGAAGAACTAGGACAAGAAGAAGGTCATGGCCAAGGTCACTGAACTATTTAATATTTAGTGCCTGGATTAGAACCCAGGTTCTATCAACTGTCAGGTTAATGACTCAAAGATATATTCTCTATAATGAATTCCTCCTCTACTTTCTGCTAAATTTAGAAAGAAAAGAATTCAGGGAACATACAAGCTAATGAAAACTGCCTATACCATGTGAAGTATCATTATTTGTGGCAGAAAAACAATCAGAGTCTTGAGCTCCTGTCTGGGGAAGTGAGTTAAATGGAAGATAAAATTGGTCTTGTTTATAGAAGAATCAGCTGCCACCTGAGTCATTATTTGTCTCTTCTCATCAAACTTTAGCAAAGCATCCAAATCAGTCAGTCATGGGCCCGCCTGAGAAAGCCTATCATTCCAAACAAAAACCAAACCCAACCCCACCAAAATCTCCACTCAGTTAATGCCTTCAACCATTAACACACTTGTAACCCCTCAGTTGCAGACAAGAGCCATAATCTCATCAGCCATAAACTGCCCATTTTTCCAGTTGTCTTCAAACTCTTGCTTCCATTCTGAACTGATGTACGCAAAGATTGGCCATCCATGGCTGATCACATGTGCTCAGTGGGATTTTTCTGCTCCCTCTGCTCGATTACTAAACTGACCTCCATAATCTGGCTATGGCCAACCTTTCCAAACCTATCACACAGCACTCTCCTTCACTGTTCTAAGTTTCAGCCAAATTAGCCTGCTTCCTTGTTCTTCCCCAGATTAGGCACTCTGCTTCTTTCTCACCTCCATGCTTTTGCACAGTCTGCCTGCCACGCTTAGAATGCTCTCTTTTCACCTCCACCTCTTACGAAACCCAGCATCCTTCAATTGTGAGGCCAAGGGCCACCTCTCACAAGAAGTCTATCCTTCTGTCCTTAATGGCCAACGCTTTCTCTCTCCTCAATTTACCACATAGAGACCTGTCTTTCCCTATGTTGTAGCCAAGCTGCTAGTGTTGTTAATGTTCAGTCATTTCAGTAGTGTCTGACTCTCTGTGACCCCATTTGGGGTTTTCTCAGCAGAGATACTAGAGAGGTTTGCCGTTTCCTTCCCCAGCTCACTTTACAGATGAGGAAACGGAGGCAAACAGGGTGAAGTGACTTGCCCAGGGTCACACAGCTGTAAGTGTCTGAGGCTGGATTTGAACTCCTGAAGATGAGTCTTCCTGACTCGAGGACTGGTGCTCTATGCATTGAGCCACTTAGCCAAATCTTAGTTTTCTATCTATGTAGTAAACCTTGTGTATCTATCTATATATGTGTACTCTGCATCTCTGGGCTTTAGTAGATTTGTCTATAAAAAAGGGGATTGGAATAGGTGGCATCTGAGGTCCATTTCAGCCCTGGATCTCGGATCTTATGATGCCATATTGCCTTTCCCTATAGAATGTAAGCTCCTTGAGGGCAGGGACTGTCTTCCCATTTGTCTTTATATCTGCAGCACCGAGTACAGCAACTCGGCACAAAGCACATGCCTAATAAATCAGTCTTTCAGCAAGAGGAATGAAGCTTAGAAATTCCCATTACTCCTCAAAACAAGGATGCTTCGAATATTTTTCCCTGGAGTCTTCAAAATGGAGCCATTTGGGCAGCCTAACTCAGGGTCAGAAAGTAGGCCACCCCAAGAACACCACGAAATTAGAGGTCCCCGGAGAATACTCCGTGGCAAAGCCAAATGGATTCGTGAGAAAAGGGCGTGGTTGTTCGCTATTCAGTGGGAAGCCAACCACAGCCACAGCTCTGATTACCAAAATGTCATTCTTCCTAAAGTGACAACCAGACAAGGCCATGCAGACAATTCAGAGACGCCTAGTTTTTTCCTACCACTCGCCATTTAGTGACAGATTATATTTAAAATGCCTTAAAATCAGCTTCCATTTTCTCTTATAAATCTAGAAGTGCAAGGGACCCCAGAGGCCATCTGGTTCAATGGCCTCCTTTTGCTGATGAGGAAACTGAAGCCAAAAAAGGTGAAATGATCTTCCCACAGTCACACAAGTAGTCAGGGCGGATTTAAACTCATGTCTCACTCAGCCAACTTCAGCTTTCTTTCCATTGCCCCACCTTGTGCTACTTCCCAAATAGAGGTACTGGTTCTCTACTTTCTCTTTTTTTCGAAGTCTGATTCTTCCTACCTTACACAGGTTGTTAAGGACAGGGTCACACCACACAGTCCCACTCCAACGGCCATAGGCCTTTGACCTGCTCTGTTTCCAACCTGGGTCAGTTCACCCCTCCCTTAGGAATCCTGGTACTCCCCTGCTACCCAGGCTCATCATATTAATGCTACACTTAGTCTAGACATCCAATCAGGTTAGCCCATTGCAGCTTAGACTTCCTAAACTCAAGTGACCTACCAGCCTCAGCTTCCCTTTATGGGCATGTACCACTACACCCAGAGACTAGTTCTCCTCCAAAGAAGGGAAACAAGGACCAGATATGAAAACAGTCATCATCTTTTTAATGAGAAATTAAGTATCTCTCCAAAAGACCTATTTCAGTTTGTCCTTATGGTACAGAAAAGACCCTGGGTTATTGAAGGTTATGCCAGGGGAGCATGAGCTCCAGCACGTTCTCTCAAGTTGGACAGGCTTTGCATATAGGCTCAGCAATGGACTGTGCCTCATGTCTAAGGACCAGACCAGCCTGATCCCCATGGTGCATGGCCAGCAGGGGCTTTATGAGGAAGGGTGGGGCGGGGTGCAATTCATGAAATATAAACATGGTAAGAGCCATAAGGTTAAGCACATCATTTTCCAAGGACAATGGCAGAAGCATCGTTTGGGCCATCGGAGCAAAAATAATCATCACCACCATCATCAAACAACATCTAATCTAAGGACCAGAAGCTTGTGTTTGATCTAGGCCCTGCTGCTGTCACACTTCTTAGGACAGTCCAACGTGGGCTTGGTCATTAAAGGACACGAACATCCAAAGTCAAGATAATTCGATGAGTCCTTACTTGTGTCTCCATGGGCTGGTAGTAAGCCGGGGATTTTCTGCAAACCAGACACCAAAAAGTTCTCAGGAAGAAGGTGGAAGGCAGCCTCAAGAACAGGATGGAACTTCAAGGTATACAGAATGTGGCAGTTCTCAATGAGGGTCATATATTTACTTTCTAGAAGAGAGAGAAACAACATTATTCCAGAATTTCAGCATTGGCAGAGAACTCACAGGTCACCTACTCCAACCTAAAGTGCAATGCCCAAAGAAGAGGACTGGCCATCCAACCTCCACTAGGGAATGTCAGAGCTGGGAGGTGCCTTCGAACACAGAATGGCAGAGCTGAGAGGGGCCTTAGAACAGGGAATGTCAGAGCTGGGAGGGTCCTTAGAACACAGAATGGCAGAGCTGGGAGAGGCCTTAGAACACAGGATGTCAGAACTGGGAGGACCCTTAGAACAGGGCATGTCAGAGCTGGCAGGGCCGTTAGAACACAGAATGTCAGAGCTGAGAGGGGCCTTAGAGCAGAGAATGTTTGAACCAGAAGGGACCTAAGAAATAATCTAATACGACGCCTTTATCCTACAGGGTAGGTAGTCCTACAGGACTACCCCCCAAACCACCCACTCCTTTTAAAAAGTAGGCATGACTTACACTATAAACTCCTTGAGGAAAGGAATTGCCTTAAATTTTTTTTTTGTATCTGTATCCCCAGGTCCTGCATATAGTAGGTACTTAACCAATGCTCACTGATCAATTGACCAACTTCAATGACAAGCAGAGATTTGGCTCTATTCTGCCTAGACCCTTCATATGAAGGAATGAAAAGGAAAAAGCATTCATTAAGCCCTTCCTATGTGAACAGGAAGTCTGTCTCTCTCAATGAGCTCACATTCTAACTGCAAGTACAAGATGGTCCAGCCCTTAAGTTCATTCACACTTCTTATCTACAAATTCTCATGCATCCCAGGTGTCTCTCCAGTCCCTTGGCCCTTCTTTGGACTACCCCCCAAACCACCCACATCTTTGACATTTCTTTAGGATACATAATTAATAGTATTATTTTTTCCTTTCTATTTTCCATATTTGTTTCCTGACATGAATCTGAATAATGCCTGAGGATCCTACATGCTGAATAAATGCACCAGCAGCAGCACTGAGCTGTCAAAATGCCTGATTTTAAGGGGCTTTTAGGAGAGAAGTTGGCAATTTGCTAATTTAATTCAATTTGGAAATCATCTAAAAGCTGATATTTAGTCCAAGCAAATCTCTCCCTCATTTTACCTGACTGTTGGACCATATTTAATGTATGCAGACAACACTCTAGCTTTCCAAATTTCTCTCATCACCACAGCCCTGCCAAAGTTATACACTGAGCTCCCACAGATGGGTCTCACAAACAATACAGAAGATCTGCTGAGAAACAAAGTTTGGGTGTGAAGGTGCCGTGGGCTGCTGCGCTGAGCCTGCTCCAAGATTCCCTCCCAGGGTGAGACACTTGTCCCACACCAAATCACTCGCTCTCCTGTTGGGATCGGTGCTGCTAGCAGTGGGTACAAGGAGGAGTCTTACTGCCCCGTCAATGAACTTTCCATTCTATGGCCAGAGGCCTCCCTCGGACATCAGAGCAGATGACAAACAGTGACCATCTACTCTGAAGGCAGACACAGAAGAATGTAGGGCAGAGGCTGGGGTAAATCAACTCTTCCCACAGAAAATCCTGAGTGGGACCCTCCCCTCACGGGGCCTGTGGAGAACTCCTTCCTCTTCTGGGGGGAGGGGTTAAAGGGGCTCCAACTCAGCCCAAACCCAAGCTCATGGAGTTTTGGCTCAAGGCATTTCAAATGTGAAAATCACTGTTGATGGTAGCTTGTGTTGAGACTGATTCCGAGAAGACCTAAGCATGAACAGTGTTCTAGGGAAGCCCTGTGTGAGTCCCTGAGGTTGACGGAAGACCCACAGGTTTCCTCCTGCCAACGATCTTTTAAAATCATTCCAGCACTTTGGTCCTTACGTTCGATAGGATCCTCAAGATGCGGATGCAGGAGGGCTCTGGGGGTGCCATGATAGAGTCTCAGCCTAGAAAACAACCAAGAGACAACAAACAATTTGTTCCTCTTGCAGTCAGCAGAATTCAAGCAAGCAAAGAGCACATAATATCTCTTTCCCATTTATTGTACTTTCTTAATGGGCAATAGACAGAGGGCCAAACTTGGAGGCACGAGAAAACCCAGGTACAAATCCTACTTGTGGCCCTGGGCAGGTAACAGCCTGTCTGCACTGGGTGGGACCTGTCTACGCTGGGTAAGGCTTGTCTACACAGACCTGCACAGGTCTGCATAGCACAGTGGCCCTGTCTCATCACACCACCCAGCCCCCCAACCATCAGTGCTCATGAGCTCAGAAGCCTTTGGTCTCTCCAGAATAAGCAGTGGCCAGCCCTGCAATGGACCGGCACCAGAGGAATGCATGCATAGCTACAAATAGCTACCTTCTGTCCTGAGTGGGAGAATCAGGACCTTCTGGTTTGGCACTGAAGAGCCGCAGGATCCCAAAGCCACAGGCCACCATCTGCAGGCTCCCATCCCGTCTCTTGCCTTCAGCAACAACTTCCACCACCACAACAACATTCGAGTGATTTAAAGATGTGTGGAAATACACAGGCTGAAACACAGGAATGAAAAGTCAGCATCCACATCACCAGCTGAGGCTCACAAAGCATTCTCAGAAATGGAAATTAATAAATACCCAGCATTCATAGCGCACTTTAAGGTCCAAACAGTGTTTTCCAATTATTATCTCGACTTCCGCTTCCGGGAGCCAAGATGGCGGAGTAAGAAGTAAGTCGCTTTTACCATCCTTTATTAACCTCTAAAAGGCCAGAAAATATCACTGCAGGAAAACCTTGGAACAGCTGAAGCAGAAGAAAGATGGGGTGCAGTAGTCTGGTAGCCCAGGTAGCTTGAGGGATTAACGGGAAAGGCCCCTCTTGCCCTAGGGGAAGGGGAGCAGTACGGAATTGGAGGCATCCCAGCAAGCTAGCGAAAAGCCCCACCTCAGCATACCAGAAGGAGATCCCGAAACCCAGGTGGTGGAGCAGGCGAACACCAACACCTGAACCCCTGAGTGCCTCAGTGAGGGCAGGGAAACTGGTGGAAACCAGCTTAAAAAAGCACCAGGTGCCTCGGCATTCTACATCAACCAGCTATCCCAGTACCTCAGCAAAACTAAGGCAAGCAGCGTTCCAAGGGGCCCCAGGCGGATAAACAACCTACAACATCCATCAGAAAGGAGCTGAAGAAATCTAAAGGAAGGAAAGGCTCTGGTGAGCAGGAAACCTCCAGGAGCCACACTACCCAACCCTACCCCTAGAGTTCCAGTGTTGCTGATTCCAGCCCAACACCAGGTAAGCTGCCAGAACCCTACAGCCTCCAACTGCCAGCACTGGAGGCCCCAGCACACAAAGCCAGTGACCAGGCCCTCAGCTCCCAACACAAGAAGCTTGGGTCAGTGCCCTCTGATCCCCAGCAGAAGAGCTCAATCTCTTTAAAGGCCAGGAAATAAGCAAATACCATGAGCAAAAAGAAACGTACCATAGATTCTTATTATGGGAACAGTAAAGATCAAGGCAGAAATTCTAAAGAGGACATTTTCAACAAACCCACATCTGGAACCTCAAAAGGGAATATGAACTGATCTGAAGCCCAAAAGGCCTTCTTAGAAGAGCTCAAGAAGGATTTTAAAAGTCAAATGAGAGAAGCAGAAGAAAAAATGGTAAAAGAAATGAGAGGTATGCAAGAGAGAATCAATAGCTTGGAAAAGGAAGGATAAAAATTAACTGTAGAAAACTAGTCCTTAAAAAATACACTTGGCCAACTGGAAAAAAAAGAACACTGAAGAAAACAAGTCCTAAAAACACAGTTGGCCAACTGGAAAAAAGTATACTGAAGAAAGTAAGTCCCTAAAAAACACAATTGGCCAAATGAGGAAGGAGGTACAAAATCTAATAGAAGAAAACAATTTGTTAAAAATTAGAACTGGGCAAATGGAAGCTAATGACTCTAAGAGAGAGCAAAAATCAGTCAAACAAAAACAAAAGAATGAAAAAACAGATGAAAATGTAAAATACCTCGTTGGTAAAACAACTGACTTGGAAAATCGATCCAGGAGAGACAATTTAAAAAATTATTGGTCTACCTGAAAATCATGATGAAAAAAAGAGCCTGGACAGTCACTTTCAGGAAATCATAAAGGAAAACTGCCCTGAGGTCCTAGAACCAGAGGGTAAAATAGCCATAGAAAAGAATCCACTGATCACCTCCTGAAAAAGATCCCAAATTGAAAACACCAAGGAATTATAGTAGCCAAATTCCAAAGTTACCAGGTCAAAGAGAAAATACTGCAAGCAGTCAGAAGGAAACAATTTAAATATCAATTATCTCATTTGACCCTCACAACAATCCTGGGGGGTTTATTATTACACTCATTTTGCAGATGAGGAAACTGAGGCCCAGGAAAGTCAGGTGATTTCCCTAACTTCGCACGGCCAGAAAGGACCAGGATTTGAACTGAGGGCTTCTTGACTCCAGGTCCTGAGCTCTTTCTACCACACCACCAGTTGCCAGGAGGGATCAGAGAGATTTCAGGTTTGTCCCAAAGAACGTTTTCCTCTAAATTTTGCCAAAAATCATGAATTCCCCCAACGTCCCTTTCTGCAACCCCATCCCAGTTAGTAAAACAAGAAGAATAAAGATAACTAGTTAAAGATATCAAGTTTCTTTTTTATGGAATCTTTTGTCAGAATCCAGGAGCGTACAATGGATTTCCCATCCAGACAATACTCCTCCTTCTGCCAAGGAATTAGGTTTTCACCTAAAAAAACTGCACTGGCATATACAACTCTGTGATATACACCATTATCATATTAATAGAACATAATAGAAAGAGAGCCTAGAGAGGTACTCTACTCCAATGACTTACTGCCAACAAGGATTATATTGAAAGTAACCCCCACTTTCCCTCCCCACCAAAAAAATTATGTATGTGTGTGTGTATGTATATACATACATATATACCCAGAAAGATAACTTTTTCAATTACAAAGAAATTTATTATTTCACGTACCCAACATTATGTGGCTCAGATTATAAAATTCAATTCTGAAATTCCAATAACATCATTAATTTTATAGGATGCTACAAAACTGTACACAAATATGAAAACATTAAATAATATTGATATGAGATGCAGAATAGTACAGTGACAAGAATATAGGGCTAAGATTCAGGAGAACTAACTTCTAACCCAAGCCCTGCCACTGTGACTTCTACTAAGTTACTCTGGGCCTCAGTTTCCTCATCTCCAAAATGATAAAGGGTTAGCCCAGATCAGGTATGGGGAACCTGTGGCCTTAAGATCACATGTGGCCCTCTAGGTCCTCAAGTGCAGCCCCTTGACTGAATCCAAACTTCACAGAACAAATCCCCTTAATAAAAGGATTTGTTCTGTAAAAACTTGGACTCAGTCAAAAGGCTGCACTCAAGCATCTAGAAGGCCACGTGTAGCCTCGAGGCCACAGTTCCTCACACCTGGTCTAGATCGTCTCCCTCTAAAGTCCCTTCCAGCTTTATGATTCTATCCTGGACTAATTCTGTTTTAACTAAGAAGGTTTCTTGATGTACAAAATGTTTTACAGAGAGAGAGAAAGAGAAAGAGAGAGAAAGAGAGACAGAGGGAGAGAGAGAGAACCAATTAACATCTTTTTGTGCTAAAACATCTTGAAATTTATGTTAACAAAATGAGATTTTTCTAGAGAATGTCAGTTGTTTTATCATCCTCATGGGTGGTCATTTTGAGATCACTGTGAACATCTGTTTCAAGTCATGAGACAAGGAGGTGCATCCCCCATCATGTATTTCCCTGCCCCATCTGCCTGACAGCAGTGGGGACGTCTGTATTCGAACAGACAGCATGAGGCTGATGGAGATGTACCCACATTTTTGCTTTCCCTTCTCTCAACATGCACATTCCCATTTGGGAATGAAAATACCTTCATCCTGTTACAGCTTTTCTATTTTGCCAAATTAAATTCACTTCTTTTTATTTAAAACTAATAAATGTCACAGACACAGAAGATGGAAACTTGATTCAGCTGACTGGGTTTGCTAACCAGCAGGGAAATAAGAGTCCACGTGAGCATCAGATGGAAGGTGGAGCCGTGGCAACAGAACCCAAACATTTCATTGATCACAAAGTCAATGCTGGAGGACAAGGCAGTAGGCGCAGCCCTCCCAGCCTCAGTCCACAATCACCCCCGAGAGAAGGCGCTCACAAAGACAAAGATCTGGCAGGGACAGAGGCTAGCCTTCCTACTATTTGATTTAAACTTGGAATAATCCTTCTATTAACGAGTCATTACCATGGTGTCACTAAGAAAACGTTTACTGTAATCACAGACTGTCAGCAAGGGATAACAGAGAGATGCATTAAAACATCAGCCATGAGATATAAATCGTTATTCTATTATCTTTTATTGCAAAATGATGAAATAATGACCACTTACTGCTGACAGGTGGTTGGACTAAGAGAGAATTATGTTTCTGTTTCCAAAGGCTCAGGAACCGTTAAGGAGGCCCACTTGAAAGGTAAGTTAGTCATCATTGCACCTTTTATATTTATACCTCTGCATATCAGTTTTACAAACACCACACACTTTCCCTCCTGCAGTAAAACAAATGCTCTAAACTCCAGATATGGAACAATAATAATCACCTAGCCTAGAGGTCACCTTGAAATTGCTCCATCTGAATGCACGGGCCCGCAGTTTTCAGCAACTCCAGATTTATGGTTATATGTCTTTCCCTTTCATCGATGACAGAAAACAATTATTTTGCAACAAAAAAGCAAATCCCCTTTGTCATTTATCTCAAATGACCCACCATTAGATTTAGCATTTAGAGATATATTCTGCAAAGTTTGATGGCAAAGATTAGAAAAAGGCTATGTGCACTGAGCATTAATCTGGGCCTATCATTTAGCTGATACTGTGAGTCACATGGACTCTTCGGGCCCCAAAGGAAAATGGGACCCAGTGGCCGGTGGAGTTGCTAGGAAATTTCTAGAAAGGTGAAGAGAGTTTTATTGATAAGGTTTTGGGTTCTGAATCTTCTGTTGGTTTGCACAAAACCGTATTCTTTTTTTTTAAGCTGTTCAGGTACCCGAGTGCTACTTTATTACTGAGAAAAAGACTTCATCCTTTCAATAAACATTTACCAAGCATGAAAGTGTATAGTATTTTGCTAAAGGATTTACATGAAACTTGGAAGATACGGTTCTGCAAGCTCACAATTTCAAAACCAGATAATAAACAAAACTGTTTTGGGGAGCGTGTGCAGGTGAGTGTGTATGGAAATGAACAACCTTTAATTACTATGATAGCAAAGTTCATCACAACGTTGAAGATACAAAGGCAATTATTCTAACTTTTACTTACTAATTATTGTCTTTTCATTCCATTTCCCTGATAACATCAAGGGGAATGCAATCCTTAAAGACCCAAACCAGAGGCATATAATCTTTCAGACAAGTTTAGCTCCACTCACTGTTCACACTCATATGTTAACTGTAACCCGCTAAGATATGATTCCAGAAGGTGAACAAAAAAA